CTGCTCTACAGCTGTGTCTTTGTAGGGATTCTTCAAAGCACTGTGACAGTTTAGGTAGGATTATTTAAAGAGGAAAATAGCCCACTGAATTACATTATCCAGTAGAAAACACCTGGCTTACAGACAAAGGATGACTTTACATGATAGCGGTATGTGCGGGCAGGGCATGGATAAAGCTTGCCGGGGACCCAGCCTCCTGAAGACCCTCACAGTCTTATTCAATTTAATCATTCTTTTAAAAACTAGTTCGTGACTAAGAAATGATATGTTATGGTATATTACAAAGATTTTCCAGCATCTTACTTGGCTAATCATCAATTGAGTCACAGACCAAAAAACTGTGATATCATTAAGAGAGGCTGTGAAATTTTATTTATTTACTTATGGAGGGAAGCTTTCTAAAAAGCAGGGCCACTTTTCATTTTGTAGGATGGTTAAAGCATAGTCCTACTTTAAAGAGGATCCAAATTTCTATTAACTTCCTAATTAGATTTTATATCCTGCAATCTAATTCCGTGAGCAAATACTGCTCCTAGACGTTTCAGAAAACACCCCACTCATTGCGATGATTTATGTCATGGGAATGAGTGAGCTCTTTTTCATGCTTACTTTTCCTTTCCGACATTTGTGAAAGAAGATTGCAGCTGTGTTGCAGCTATTTTAAACAGTTTTGAAGGAGCGCAAGATAACATTTTTCTTAACTCTAATACATATGTTTATAACTGCGCTTTAATCTACATCAACTCTTTCTAATGACAGGCCACTTTACTTTGGGTTTATTTGGATAACACTTTCTAAATACATTTCACTACCCCAGGCTAGTAGGCTGACAAAATGAGCTAGCAGACTCTGTGTGTGATATTTTAACGGGAGGGAGATGCCAGAAGCATTGCAGGAAGAAACGTATTCTTAAAGATTATTACCATGGTGTCTACCAGAGTGAGGAGTAGATAGCATAATATTCTGAGATATAAATTCTCTGAGGCAGAACATAGAATTTTACTACCTAAATGTAAGAAGATGTATTGTGCTATCAGCAAAGGCCATGGAGCCCTGTGTGATTAAAATAAAAAAGGATCCAACTATCTGCCTTTAACTACCATTTAATGATAAGGATTTTTGTCTTTAGCATTTATATTGGAAGTCAAGAAAGAGGCAAGCTGCAGGCTATCTAATAATAATATGAATAATAATAACTAACAATTACCCTTCTCTTCCTCCTTGGTTCTGAGCAGTCTATGAAAGTCTCTTCCTTCATCTTAGTTTATATGGTAATGGAAATATTAGTTTAAAAATTATGTTGTACACTACCTGCTGATGAAGGGAGTTTAACCATTAGGTGTACATTAGGAAGGAAGATTCAGCAAGGGGATACTATGATTCCATCTATTTTACATGGAGTCTCGTGTATTTTTCATGGCAACCCTTGCAGGCACATATTGTTACCCATTTACTTTTGTAGTCCTGCAATCTTTTTTTTTTTTTTTTTTTTTTTGACAGAGTGGACAGTGAGAGAGAGAGAGACAGAGAGAAAGGTCTTCCTTTGCCGTTGGTTCACCCTCCAATGGCCGCCATGGCCGGTGCACTGCGGCCGGCGCATCGCGCTGATCCGAAGGCAGGAGTCAGGTACTTATCCTGGTCTCCCATGGGGTGCAGGGCCCAAGGACTTGGGCCATCCTCCACTGCACTCCCAGGCCACATCAGAGAGCTGGCCTGGAAGAGGGGCAACCGGGAATCCTGAAATCTTCTAATAAGTCACAGCGGTAGTGACCCGGAGCTGTCAAATACTAGATTATAAAAGCTGACTATTAAATATTCAGAATTTTAGAAATATGTTTTATGTTTGTTTAATTTACTTGAAAGGCAAAGAGACAAATGGAGAGAGACTCTTCTATCGACTGGATCAAACACTAAATGCTGCGATGACCAGCATTTGGCAGGCCAAAGCCAACAGCCTGAAATTGCACTTGGGTCTCTCATGTGGGTGGCAGAAACACAAGTACTTGAGCCATCACCTGCTGTCTCAAAGGGTGTGCAATAGCAGGAAGCAGGATCAGAAGCAGAGTATCAGGACTCAACCAGGCCCTACGATATGTGTGTGATGTGGCCATCCTAAGCAGCTATGCTACTTAACTGCTACATGAAATGCCCAAACTATGCAAAATTTTTGTTGCTAGTATGAAACCAGCCATGGCGGCAATATTTATACTATGAAAATCAACGAAGTATAAAGCACTGGGATCTAATTCTTCAGTTTCACTACTGCTCTCAGAGCAGCTTTATTAGCTCGTCATTGCCATCTTACTGAATTTTATTGCATGGATTCAAGTCCAGGTTTGCACTGTGCAAAAATCACCTGTTTGTTCCTTTCTTTCAAGTTTACAAAATTTTGAATTAGGAACAATCTAATTCAAAGCTTCATAAAATACAAGTATGTAACATTGCTGAAGGCACTTTCCCTTGGTCCTCTGTTTAATTTCTTCCTTATCTTTAAAGTGTATCTTCTTCATTTCATGGGAACTTCATGAAACTTGACATACTTGTACATGTTTTGTTTCTCCATTCTGATTATGGGAATATTTGCTACAACAGTAAAGCTGGAATAGGTAGATGGAATTGTTGGAAAGTAGGTCAAGGTATAGTGTTGACTTTGATTATAACTATATCTTATTATTTCCCTAAAGTATCATCCTATTACCACTGTTATATACCACTATTCAGATTACAGATTGTGGCTCTATTTATAATTTTAATTTATAATCCTTTAAATCTCTAGCCCCCAAATGTAGCATCAATGTTTTAGAAAATAATTACTGTTGCTAAAAATATCTAAGTCCAAAAACTTCATGGGAACAAAAAAGGTGATTTGTATTATTGGGTTTTTGAGAAATGAGAAGCTTTATGTGGCTGGCCATCATGGTGGCAGGTGTAAAACTGAAATCTGTCTTCCTAACTGGAGGCTAGAATAAAGATTTATGGGGTTAGGAAAGAAGTAAAGACTTGGGGTCCATGGCAGGACTACATGTATGGATCAGTGTGAGAAACAGTCCAGTCAGTGGGTGGTATATTCTATCAAATACTGTCTAGATCTTCTGTTTCTGCTCATTCTCCAATTTTCATGTCCATGGAAGAAGAGCAACTTTGGTTCTGGGTGTCATTTATAGGTCATATTTCTCCTTTCTGCCATATGCAGCTTGGGTGGTCAGCCTTAGTATAGTTGAGACTGATTTTAGGCCAGCCTGATGATGAAGCCTGTAAAAATAATTTTAAGATGTAGGGACTCAGTAATCTCACTTTTATAGCTACAACCTATAGAACAAGGTAGGAAGGTTTTGAGGTAGCAAAGGGAAACACCAAAGGGGGCTTTTAAGTTTCAGGGTATTGAGGGGAGTCTTGGGGCAACATTGTGGCACAGTGGGGTTTAGCTGGCACATGAGACAATGACATCCCTTATCAGAGTGCAGATTCAAGATTCTGATCCAGCTCCATGCTAATACTCCAGGGAAGGCAGCCAAAAGGATCCTGCCACCCCTGTGGGAGACCAAGAAGGAGTTCCAGGATCCTGGCATTGACCTGGCCTACACCTAGCTCTTTCAGCCTTTTGGGCAGTGAACTAGAGGATAGAAGGTTTCTCTCTTCTGCATTTCAAATCAATAAATAAACCTTTAAAAAAAATAGAGGAGGAGAACTGATTAATGGGGTTATCACACCTTCTTATTACTATGTCCTGAAATTATCAAAATAAAGGAGAAACTAGTAACATCATGAAAATAAAATACAGCAAACTAATGAAATAATATATGGACAATCTCACTCATCCACCATATAAAAGGAAATTAAGGCCTTGTTATAAAGGACAAGTTAAAAAAAGTTTCCAAATATGACTTTCTTTGTTTTTTGTTTGTTTGTTTGTTTTGCTTTTTGACAGGCAGAGTGACAGTGAGAGAGAGAGACAGAGAGAAAGGTCTTCCTTTGCCTTTGGTTCACCCTCCAATGGCCGCTGCGGCCAGCACACTTTGGCCAGGGCACCGTGCTGATCCGAAGGCAGGAGCCAGGTGCTTCTCCTGGTCTCCCATGGGGTGCAGGGCCCAAGCACTTGGGCCATCCTCCACCTCCACTGCACTCCCAGGCCATAGCAGAGAGCTGGCCTGGAAGAGGGGCAACCGGGACAGAATCTGGAGCCCCGACCGGGACTAGAACCCAGGGTGCCGGCGCCACAGGTGGAGGATTAGCCTATTGAGCCATGGCGCCAGCCGACTTTCTTTGTTTTTAAAAAATATGCTTTTATGTGGTTATCCAAACATTAAAATTGCCCTCATATTTGTGGAATTATCTTGTTGCTAAAGCTGATACTTGAGAAATTGCACACACACACACACACACACACACACATACTGTCTGTCAACAGAAATAAACAGAATCTGTAAAAAGTTTAATACATGGTTTACTCAGAGGAGAATATAGGCAACCTAGGCCCAGGGGACACAAGCCCAGAGACTCACTGAATCTTGGGATATGTTCTGAAATGATCATATTCTATTCAGAATTTATATGCTACACAGTGAATATACATTGGTTTGACCCAAGAAAATTGGCTTTCCGTAAGCTGAGGATGAAGGAGAGTTTCTCACTGGTTGCAGGTTGTTATCATTAGAACATGATTGGCTAGAAGTACGTTCAGAGGCAGGGATGGTATTATTTCTGAAAGGGCCTACTGAAGAGAAAACTACTGATTAATTTTAAGGAGGTCATTTCTGGGAATAGATAAAGTATGGATAAGACCAAGGGGTTACTCAAGGTTGCTTCAGGACACTAAGACAAAACAGATCCTGTGTGCACATCACCCAAGTCAGATTAATCTGGTAGATAAGACAAATACCCCTGTCCACCAATGCTCGACAGGTCTCAGAAATTTCCTCCTGAATGCTTTGTCTATTTTTAGGGGCAGTTTGTTCTCTGTAAAAAATTTAAGAAGTGTTTATGTCTGTTCTCAATTTCAGGGGGGCGTATGGTCATGATGTAGGGAAACGACCTTGGATTACAGGAGATGAGTGTATAGTAGGTCTTATGGAGGACATTGTAGGTAAGTAAAAAATATGGTAAATTTTTCCCAAACAATGTCAAGATATTATTGTTTACTTAGAAGTATAGGTTATAAAGTCAGAATGTTATTGAAAGATATCTCAGATTTCTACTTTATCTTATAACAGTAAAGATTAAGTAAATCCTTTTTTAAGATTTATTTTATTTAATTTATTTGAAAGACAGCGTTAGAGAGAGAATCTTCCATCTGCTGTTTCAGTCCCCATATGATCACAAGGGGCAGAGCTGGGCTGATCTGAAACTTGGAACCAGGAGCTTCTTCCAGGTCTCCCATGTGGGTGCAGGGGCTCAAGGGCTTGGGCCATCTTATTCTGCTTTCCTAGGCCATAGCAGAGAGCTGGATCAGAAGTAGAGCAGCTGGGACTCAAATCTGCACCCATATGGGATGCCAGCACTGCAGGCTGGGGCTTTAACACTCTGTGACACAGTGCCGGCCCCAAGTATATCTTTAACTAAGATTTGTTCTTTCAAAGGATGCTATAATGAACACAATCAGTCATTTGATATGAAAACATTATTATATTTTCCTATGAACACAAAAACTAATGTTAAACTGCCTATGAAGAGCATGTGTACTATATCTACTTATAATTTAACAAATTTCATAAAAGTTGACTTAAATGAACTTTCTGTAATTTGTGATTAAATGAACCCTAGTTTTCAATAAAGTGAAAAATGCTAAGCATATTTTGGTCATTTTGATTTAATCATTGCTGACCTATTTAAATTCATTTAAAAAAAAAAGCTTTATTAGCAAATACTTCACACACTAAACATTTCCAGTGTAAAGTGTACAATCAGTTGCACAGATATGTGCAATCGTCAGCAAATTCATTTTGTAACATTTTATTCATTCAGAAAAGAGCCCCATACTCTTTTTTGTTTTGTTTTGTTTTCTGTATTTTGATTTATTTTAACAGATTCAATATGATTTGTAGATACAAGTCTAAGAACATAATGATATTCTTGCTTCCCCACCCTCCCACCTTGTTTCCTTCTACCTTTCTTTCTTTTGTTTAGTTTTGAGATAATGTATTTGAAATTTACATTAGAGTAAAAAGGCTGAAAACTTCACTAAAAAATTTAACAAATAAAAAGAAAAAGACCCTAGCTTAATGGGAATATAGACAACTGCTGTAAACAATAATTGAATGTATAAATGACTATTATACTTTTTTTTGGTCAATTAGTCATTCATAATTTCTTTCAATGAAATACAACCAATGATACATGTAAAATTTCCTGTGTCATGATAATAACTAAGTTCTTTTAGACATTAAGCATTTCTCCTCAACAGTTTATGCACAGAATTATTTTTATACAGATTGAAATCCAAATAATTATACATTAAGATTTTTGTACTCAGTATCAGAGAAAACATAAAATATTTATCATTTTGAGACTGTATTATTTTATTTTTTTAAGTATAATACTTTCCAGTTGCATCCATTTTGTTGTTAAAGAAAGGATTTCATTCTTTTTTTACAGCTTTGTAATATTCAATAGTGTATATACACCACAATTTTTTTTACATCCAGTCATCAAGTGATGGGCATCTGGGTTGGTTATATACCTTAGCTATTGTGAATCGAGCTGCAATAAACAAGGGGGTACAGTTAACTCTTTCATATACTGATTTTGTTCCCTTTGTGTAAATTCCCAGGAGTGGGATGGCTTGGTCAAATGGAAGATTTATTGTCATCTCTCTGAGGAAGCTTCATACTGTCTTCCACAATAGCTGTATTAGCTTGCATTCCAATCAACAGTAGACTAGGGACCTTTTTCTCCCCCATCCTTGGTAGCATTTGTTGTTTTCTGATTTCGGTATCAGAGCCTTTCAAACTGGGGTGAGATGAAATCTCATTGTGGTTTTGATTTGCTTTTCTCTGATAGTTCATGATCCTGAACATTTTTTCATGTGTCTTTTAGCCATTTGATTAAAAAAAAAAAATCCTGTTCAGTTACTATGCACATTTCTTCACCAGATTGTTTTGTTGTGATTGAGTTTCTTGAACTCTTTATAGATTCTGGATATTAATCCTTTTTCAATTGCATAGCTTGCAAATAATATTTTCCCATTCTGCAGGTTGCCACTTCACTTTGCTGTATAGAAGCCTCTCAGCTTAAAGTAACCCCTTTTGTCTTTTCCAAGACCCAAAAAGAACTGGGAATAAAAGCCAAAACAGACAAAAGGGGTTACTTTAAGCTGAGAGGCTTCTATACAAAAGTTGGGGTCTTGTTTCATACATCTGCATATGGAGATCCAATTTGCACAACACTATTTGTTGAAGAGATTGCCCTTACTCCAGGGCTTGATTATAGCTCCTTTGTCAACATTAACAAATTGATTAACTAATTATCAAAGATTAATAATACAACCAACTGTTACAGATGCATAGATTGATTTCTCGGGTTCCTATTCTGTTCCATTTGTCTCCATATCTACTTTAGTGCCAGTACCAGGATGATTTGATTGCATCTGCCCTGTATTATGTCTTGAGATCTGGTATTTTGATGATTCTAGCTTTGTTTTTGTTTAAGATTGCTTTAGCTATTGGAGTCTCTTCTGTTTCCATATGAATTTTAGTATATTTTTTTAGATCTAAGAAGAATGTTTTTGATATTTTGATTGGAATTACATTAAATCTATACATTGCTTTGAGTGATATGGACATTTTGATTATATTAATTCTTCAAGTCAATGAACTTGGTAGATTTTTTCCATTTTTTGTGTTTTATTTCTTTATTTAATGTTTTTATTTCAATATAGAGATCTTTTACCTCCTTGGTTAAATTTATTCCAAGGTATTTAAATTTTTTGTGGCTATTGTGAATGGGACTGATCGTACAAGTTATTTCTGAGCCGTGGCATTGTGTATGTATACAAAGGCTATTGATTTTTATGTTAATTTTATATATTTTATATTCTAGAACTTTACTGAGCTATGCTATGATTTTCAACAGTATCTTAGTGGAGTGTTTGATTTACCTATATATAGAATCATATCGTCTGCAAACAGGGATCATTTGACTTCTTCCTTTCCAATTTATATCCCTTTGATGTCTTATCTTTGTCCAATGGCTCTGGCTAAATCTTCAAGACTATATTAAATAGCAATGGTGAAAGTGGGCATCTTTGTCCACTTCCAGATCTTAGTGGAAATGCTTCCAACTTTTCTCCATTTAACATGGCACTTGCTGTGGGTTTGTTGTATATTGCCCTCATTGTGTTGAGGAATGTTCCTTCTCTATAGAATTTGCTTAAGTTTTTTTTTTTTTTATCATGAAAGGATGTTGTATTTTATCAAATGCTTTCTTGCATCTATTGAAATATCATATGCTTTTTATTCTTTAATTTGTTAATGTGATTTATTAAATTTATTGATTTGTGTATGTTGAACCATCCCTGAATACCAGGGATAAATTCTACTTGATCTGGTTGAATGAACTTTCTGATTTGTTGTTGGATTGATTAGCTAATATGTATGTTGAGAATTTTTTTACCTATGTTTATCAGTGATATAAGTCTATAGTCCTCTTTCTCTATTGTATATTTTTCTGGTTTTGGTATGAAGGTGATTCTGGCCTCAAAAGATTTTGGGAGGATTCCTCCCTTCAATTATTTTGAATAGTTTGAGAAGAATTGGAATTATTTCTTCTATAAAAATCTGGTAAAATTCAACTTTTAAGCCTTCTGGTCCTGGGCATTTCTTTGTTAAGAGTGTCTTTATTACAGATTGAATGTATGTATTTGTTATTGGTCTGTTTAGGTCTTCTATGTCTTCATGTTTCAATTTTGGAAGATCTTATGTTTCCAGGTATCCATCCAATTCTTAAGTTTTCCAATTCGTTGGCATATGGCTGTTTGTAGTAATTTCTGATGATTCCTTTTATTTCTGTGGTATTGATTATTACATTTCCTTTTTCATATCTGATTTTATTAATTTGTGTCTTCTTCCTCTTTTTTTGGCTAGTTGGACCCATAATTTATCAATTTTGCTTATTTTTACCTAAAACCAGCTCTTCACTGATCTTTTGTATTAGTTTTTTTTTTTTTTTGGTTTTCAATTTTGTTTATTTCTTTTCTAATTTTAATGATTCTTTCTTCTTACTAATTTGGGGTTTCATTTGCTGCTTCTAGGTCCTTGAAATGCATTGATAGCTCATTTAACTGATGTTTTTTCAGTTTCTTGATGTACGCACTAATTGCTATAAACGTCCCTCTTCTTTCCTCTTAACACTGCTTTTGATGTATCCCATAAGTTTTGATATGTGGTATCGTCATTTTCATTCATTTCTTGGAATTTTTTGATTTCTCCTTTAACCTACTGTTCATTCAGAAGTATGTTGTTTAGTCTACAAATGTTTGCCTGTTTTCTAGAGATTATTAGGTTGTTCCTTTTCAACTTAATTCCATTGTGTTCAGAAAAGATATATGGTATGATTTCAATGTTTTTGAATTTGCTGAGACTTGCTTTATGGCCTAGCATATGGTTTTTCCAAGAGAAAGTTCCATGCACTTAAAAAAGATTACTATGTGCTCTTTAACAGTGGGATGAAAATCCTTTAGATTTCAGTCCATTTGGGTCCATAGTATTGATGAGCTCTGTTGTTTCTTTGTTAATACTCTGTCCATGGATGAAAGAGGGGTGTTGAAGTCTCCCATTACTATCTATCTATATTTAGAGTGAACGTTGCTGTAAATAACACAGCTGGTCTGTCTTTGGTCTATTTTCTGTTTCCTAAAGTCATTACACACACACACACACACGCACACAATTGGTATTAATCAGAATAGTTTTAGATGGTATATATATTAATATTTTTAAAAAGTTATTTATTGAATTGAATATCCAACATTGCCTGAAATCTTATGTGAATTCAGGATATGAAGCAAAATAATTTTATCTCAGAAATGTTGGTAGTGTTTTCTGGAAATACTTGAAGGACTTAGGGAATCAGCTATTCTCAAAGTGCTGT